ACTAGGAGACGAGGAGATGGAAACTAGGAGATGAGATAGGGCACTAGGAGATGAGATAGGGTGCTAGGAGACCAGATAGGGCACTAGGAGACCAGATAGGGAACTAGGAGACCAGATAGGGAACTAGGAGACCACATAGGCAACGAGGAGACGGTCTGGGGTGAGAACAGACAGTAAAGTGGAGTCTCCTGCTGACAAACACAGAATGAATCAGCCACTAACACACAGAGCAGGTGTGTGTCACATGACCTCATTCCTCCTGCAGGCTGTTTTTCAGGTGAGCTGGAGAAAAAATCCACCCACAAGATACACAACCCAGCCCAGAGGAGGCAAGGAAGGACTCAAGGATAGGAAACAAGGAGGCAAGGAGAGGGAACAAGGAGAGAAGCTGGTGGGAAAGAAAACAGATAAAGTTCTACAGAAACATGAAGGAACCACAAACACACAGAGGAAACCACAGCCAGCGCTCCCATTGGTCAGTCCGGACGCTGTTCTAAGAAAGGGGCGGGGCTCCGTTCTGGGGATTCAGCTGCTGATGTCGATAAAGGTTTTATCTGAAGCTGACAGTCCGGCTCCACCCGGACCGGCCGCAGCAAAGCACCGTGGGTAGTGGAGTTCAGACACACAGTCAGCTGGAAAACATTCACACAACTTCTGACATTTTAAAAAAGTTTTTAACACTTTTTTTTTGTTTATTTTATGTTGGGGGCATTAAAACATTCATGAGTCCTCTGGTTTAAGGTCTGACGTGGTATTTATGTGTTTTTCATCGGTGTGGTTTGTTGTTGTTGAATATTTTAACACTTTTAAATGTTTGTTTCCAGATGACTGATGAACACTGTTCTGGTGGTTTTATTATTTTTCACACGTTTTACTGAAAACTGTTCTCATAGTTTCAATAACATGTTTGTCAAACATTTCTTCCTTATTCAGTATTTGTGGTGCATAGAATTGATGTTTTGGGGATTTTAGCGAAGAGCTTCCCGACATTATGCTGTGAATGAATCCTGAACCATCTGGCAGCGCATCCAGCCATCGTAGCTGCTGTCTGTCTGACACAACAGAACGGGCCGACGCTGGTTCTGGAGCAGCAGACGGACGGAGAAACACTCAGAGGCTGGAAGAAAGCAGGTCAGAGGACACACAGCACACATCTGGACTCGCACTCTGTTTGGGTTCACTGTGGTGGTCTGTCGTGTTTTTGTGTTGACTTCACATCTGTTTGTGGTGATTTTTTGTCTTTTCTGTGTTGATTTTGCGTCTTTTGTGTCGAATTTGTGCCTTTTTGTGGTGATTTTATAGTTGCTGTGATGATTTAGCATCGTCTTTTTGCGACAGCTACGCCAGCGGCCGCTAACGGGTTTGTGGAGCGGCGGTACCAGAACCTGCTGCTCTGTTCTACACGTCATTGAATCCTGATCTGATCAGCAGACAAACTTTCCTCCACATGAACATTTTGTGCTCTCCTCCTGTGACGTAAGCAGACAGACTGACTCTCTGGAGGAGCAGCAGCAGTGCATGCTGGGAGCACGCCGGCAGCACGACTCCAGCCGGTTGCTCAACACGTCTGACGGACGTTTCCTCACGCTGGGAGGCGAAAAACCACAAACACACGCGACCTGCTGTGGAAACAACACGTCGCTGCCGTGTGAACTCTGCTCTGGTTCTGGTCCGGCTCAGACTGGAGGCAGAACTGAGACGAGAGGAGCCGGCGAGGAACTGGTGAACCCTCACCACTTGGCGGCTCAGACGTCTACGGACTCGATGACCTAAAACACCAGATCCATTCAGGATGTTCAGTGTCAGACTAACCTGAATGAGTGCCGGTTGAGCTGCACAGCGATCCACAGCCTTCAGAACATTCACACCTGATTCTGTTCAGTTCTGGTGTGGCTGCATGGACCCAGCACCACACTTCACTCATCATTTCAGACTTTATTAACTCCCAGATTCCTTAGGAAGGTTCACAGCCTTTAGACTGGACTTCATGAGGTCCTGGTGTTGCTGCAGGTACCAACAGTACCGGACTTCACTCTAAGTCTTGATTTGACTTTTGTCTTGTAGCTGCCAGACGTCTGTCCTACGACACGTCCTTCACACATGATTTCTTTCTTCGGTCCTCACGGAGCTGCTGGTGCTCCAGGTGTGTGGATCAGCTGATCCTGTCAGGTGCAGACAGCACCACCTACAGGCGGGGAGGTGTCGCTCTGCACCACAGGGCTGAGCACAAACGGGTTCTACAGCCCGGCAGGAATGTG